TGCTCTTTATCTTTCTGTCACATAAATAAATAAAATCTTAAAAAAAAAAAGATGCTACTAAGAGAATGAAAAGACAAGCCACAGACTGGAGAAAATCTTAGCAAAGCACATATCTGATTGAGGACTTATACCCAGAATATGTACAGAGTTCTCAAAACTCATCAATAAGAAAACAAACAGTCCAATTAAAAGTGAGCAAATGATATGAACAGACCCTTCACCAAACAAGATATACATAATGGCAAATAAGCATATGAAAAGATTCTCCATATCATTAGGCATTAGAGAAAGACAAATTAAAATCATAATGAAATATCAGTACACACCCATTAGGATGGCTAAAATTAGAAAGACTGACCATACCAAAGGTTGGCAAGGAGGGGGAGGAATTGGAATTCTCATACATTGCTGGTGGGAATGTACAATGGTAGAATCACTTTGGAAATAGTTGGATAGTTTCATGAAACGTTAAACATATACCTACTATATGATTCAGCCATTCTATTCCTACATATTTATCCAATAAAAAAGGAAATATATGTTCATACAATTTTTATAGCAGCTTTATTTGTACTAGCCAAAAACTCTGTGGTAGGCAGAATTCTAAGATGGCCCCAGATTCCCAGCCCCTGGTATACGTGCACCTTTTCCCAGTTATTCAAGAAGCATTAATCTAGTACTACTATTAAAGGATTTTGCAGATGTTATTAAGGTCCCAAGTCAATTGAGTTTAAGATAAGGAGATGATCCATGCCTTAAACTTATGAGTAAGATAGAGAGATGATCTGAGTGGGCCTGGCCTAATCATATTAGCCCTTTAAATCTGGGCCTAGAGGTCCTCAAAAAGTTAAAAATAGAACTACCTTATGCCCCAGCAAATGCACTACTAGGTATTTACCCAAAGGATACAAAAATACTGATCCAGAAGGGCACATGCACCCTGATGTTTATAGCAGCATTATCAACAATAGCCAAATTATGGAAAGAGCCCAAATGTCCACTGACTGATGAATAGATAAAGCACATGTGGGGTATATATAATAACCACATACATATATGAATATTAGTCAGCCATTAAAAAGAATGAAATGTTGCCATTTGCAATGACGTGGATAAAGCCAGAGTATATTATGCTAAGCAAAACAAGTCAGTCAGAGAAAGACAAATACCCTAAGATTTCACAACTATGTGGAATTTAAGAAACAATACAGATGGACATAGGGGAAAGGAGAAAAAAAGAGAGGGAGGCAAACCAGGAAACAGACTCTTAATTATAGAGAACAATCTAACTGAGGGTTGCTGGATGGGAGATGGGGGGGAGGGGATAAATGAATGATGGATATTAAGGAGGGCACTTGTGATGAGCACTGGGTGTTATATTTAAGTGATGAATCACTAGATTCTACTCCTGAAAACAATATGTTTTCTATATGTTAACTAACTAAAATTTAAATAAAAACATGAAAAAAAGAATCTGGGCCTAGAGTTCAGAGACTGGGAAAGTCAGAGATTGAAGCTTCAGGGGAATTTGTATGTGGTAAATTCTCTAGAGGGAGCCATGCAGCAAGAAATGAGGGCAGCCTCTAGCAGCTGAGAGCTGCCCTTAACTGAAAGCCAGCAAGAAAATGAGGACCTCAGTCCTACAACTAGAAGGAATTGAATTCAATTAACAACTTGAATGAACTTTGAAGCAGATTTTTTTCACCAGAACCACCAAAAAGGAATGCAGCCCAGCTGACATCAGGATTTCAGCCTTATAATACCATAAGTAGAGAAATCTGGCCACACTGTTCCTAGACTTCTGCTCTACATAACTAAAAACTAACACATGGGTGTTGTTCTAAGCAGCTAAGATTGTAGTAATTTGTTAATCAGCAAGAGAAAACCACTACAAACTGGAAACTCAAGGGTCCATCAACAGATAAATAAACAAATTGTAGTATATTCATACAATGGAATACTCTGACCAATAAAGAGAAATAATCTATTGAAAACACACAACAACAGGGATAAATTTTAAAATAATTCTGCTGAGTGAAAGAAGCCAAAAAGAGAGAGACTACATACATATGATCCCATTTATATAAAACTCTAGAAAATGCAAACTAATCTATGGTGACAGAAAGCAGATGAATGGTTGCTAAGAGATGGGGAACAGCGAAGGATGGGAAGGAGGGATTACAAAAGGGTATACAAAAACTTTTGGGGATAATGAATATACTCATTATCTTGACTGTAGTGATCTACATGTATACATACTTTGTCCAAAGTGTCATAAATATGTATTTCAATTATTTCTCAATAAAGCAGTTTTTAAAAGTAAAAACAAACTATATTTTAAAAGAAGAGATAGAAAGGAAAAATTTGAACACAATGAAAATGAAATTAAAGACTACATATTAAAAAATAAATAGAGTCTCTGAGAGGTATTTTTGTTTTCAGAACCAATTTAAATTCTGCAATGAGAGATGGATCTGAAACCTTGCTAAAGTAATCATGGTTGATCCTCATTATTTGTGGATTCCATATTTGTGAATTCATTTGCTCAATGAAATTTATTTGCAACCCCAAAATCAATACTCACAGTGCTTTTAAAGTTATTTACAAGCATGTGAATGGGCAGAGTGGTGAAAAATTTTAGTCGATGTGCATGTTTTTAACTGAGGTCAAACAAAGCAACATTCTGCCTTCTTACTGTAGATCTCATACTGTCGACAATTATCCTTTTTGTGATCTATGTAGTGCTATGGTTTTTGCATTTTTGTACTTTCTGTTGGTGATTTCACTGTTCAAAGCCTGAAGCATAATGCAAAACACTGTCTAGTATTCCTGAGTGCATGAAGGCTGTGATGTGCCTTACAGAATAAATGTATGTGGTAGATAATTCTCATTCAGCTATGAGTTTTAGTGCTGCTGTTGACTGAGTTCAATGTTAATGAATCAACTAACTATCCCTTATAAGGTGTCTTTAAGTAAAAACACACATAAAACAAAACTATGTATTGACTGGTTGACAAAAATGTAATCAGAACATAACCCTATATTTTTCCGAAGGAGCAACAGTTCAGTATTTGTTAATTCAATGTTCACAGCAACTTTATAGAACATAACTACCATGAGGAATGAGAACTTTTATTCTCAATAATAAATAAAAATGATTGAGGTTCTATAATTGAATGGCTTATATGGGTAGTCAGAGGCTTTAGAAACAATTATTTCTCTGATGATTTCTGCTTTGCCTACTTGTTAATGAAGTAAATTAAATCCAATGAATTATGCAGATTTTTAGTGTCTTATTCTCCACTGAAGATATTCTGATCTTTCTCCATTTTGCTCAAGTTTTCAACCCCATCTACCACTATCCTTAAGTTCAGATGACCTCTGTCCATTTCATACTTTAAGCTTCACTTCCAATGAGAATGCCTCAAGTCCAATGAGAACGCTAATTCTTCTTTAAAAAAAAAAGATTTTATTTATTTATTTGAGATAGAGATAGAGATAGACCGAGAGCAAGCATGAGCAGGGGGAGGAGGAGGGGCAGAGGGAGAGGGAGAAGCAGACTCCTGAGCAGGGAGCCCAACGTGGGGCTAGATCCCAGGACCCTAGATCATGACCTGAGCTGAAGGCAGACGCTTAACTGATTGAGCCACCCAGGCACCCCAAGAATGCTAATTCTTAAACCCCTTTTCTTTAAGGAAATTCAGGAATTCCTGTTGCTGGGAAATTTTCCCTTCATCTAGATTGTAAACTCTTTTAGATCTAGGTGCAGAATGCCTTTATTGCACTCCCTATTTGCTGCACTCGAGGGAAAAAAAAAAACAACCTTCAAGAATCAGGAAGAAGCAATTGGGCATGGCATCTGCAAAGGCAAAGTTAACAGAAGAAGGCTTTGAAATATATTTCAAGGTCAGTAGAGACAGATGCTCTTTTAGCATAAAAATATCTAAAAATTATGTTAGTAAGAAGAATATGAATATGATTCCTTTCCTCTGGTACACATGCCCTGTGTAATCCTCTTTCCTTGGATGCAGAAAAAAAAGTCTTCACGGGGTATTTTTCAAAGGTAGAAGGAATGTACAAGAGAAGCAATGCTGCTCCAGGCATATACTTTGTGCAAGGGAAGCTAGATTTAGGGGTACCATGCTCAACTTTTCATCTCCCACATGTATATTCTGTGTGATTGGACTTTATCATTGTAAAACTGGAATACAGAACTAACTGAACCTTGTTTGGGCTTCCTTATATGTTTATTCAGAAGAGAGGGGAGCATTTTCATTCCCTTTTCCAATCAGTGTAAGATAACTTAAGAGTAGATGACAGGGGAAAAAAGAAAATCTCTCCTGGAACTCATCTGGCCTACTAAACAGACCTACTTTAATCTTCCATGTTATCATATGTACACTAAAGAGGTAAAGGGGGCATTGTCAGCTTATCTGCGGGGGAAACTGTATTATGCTTAAGTGTAATGAAAGAGAAAGGGTCATAAGCATTTCAAAATTATTTCAAATATTTTTTTCAAAAGAGAAATAATTTGTTGCTAGAAAGAAGACTTGTTATAACCTCACAATGAGATTCCCTTACACTCTGCATAACCTCTTATTTGAAGAGGTCCCTGTGATGTACAGTACCATTACACCTAAAACTGAAAGAAGTTTTGGGCAGTGGGGAAAACTGCTTTGATCCTTCATTTCTCACTCAAGATAAGTATGGTGGTCTCAGGTGTTCATATTCCTGATGACAGTTCTTTTATATTACACGCAGAGAAATATTGCCTTCGGAAACTTTTCTCTACAACCTGGGATATATTTCAATGCAATGCATAAGCCTAAATAATAAAAATTGTACAACTGCTTAACTGTCAAAGGCATAGCCTGTGAAGTTGTTGGACAAATATAGAGCCTATAGACTACTTGTTAAAACCTTAGAGTATTAATAAATAACACAACAAAAGTACCAACATATACTCAATTAGAGGAAAAACATTGTGATCTAAAGCTTACCAACAGTTATTATGACCGTTTCATCATCTGTGGAGCACTTCTTTCTTTTACTTAAGGTACTTGAAGGAGAAGGCTTAAGAAAGTCCCATTTTGATGATGAATCTTCCATCTCATTAAAGAGCATGTAAAATGAACTGCTAGTTTTCTCATCTTGTTTACCTGGCATAAGACTCTATGGCTTTCGATTTTAAATCCATCAGAAGAAAATTCTACATTTGTGAAAAATGTTCCTGTGTTTCCCTCTGATGCTTCATTTCTGTAGTTAAAAAACAAACAAACAAGGTATTTATGAGAAAACTATAGTTTTTCTAGCTTTCAACTTGTTAGGAGACTGTCATGAATCTTCTAATAATTGTAGTGATTACCCTTTTTGATATATTTGCATCATTTGAATAGGATTTAATAACTCAAATGTGATGATGACTATAGATCACATTTCTAGACTTACATTTTGCTTCTTTTTCAGAATATTTTTTACTTTAGATAACTGTCTCTTTTGTGATTCATTTTTGCCACTTATCAACTTAAATTCATCATATATGACTTTTGATTCTTTCCTGACATCTTCCATTTGGCCTTAGAAACTTATTATTTTGGGGCACTTGGGTGGCTCAGTTGGTTAAGCATCTGCCTTCGGCTCAGGTCATGATCCCAGGGTCCTGGGATCAAGTCCCTCACCCGGCTCCTTGCTCAGCGGGAAGCCTGCTTCACCCTCTCCCTCTGCCTGCTGCTCTGCCTACTTGTGATCTTTCTTTCTCTCTCTCTCAAAAATAAATAAATAAAATCTTAAAAAAAAGAAACATTATTTTGTAGATCTGAGTGAAGGTCTTTCAAGATGTTCTGAAAGATCAGTTATTGCCAATTTAAATGAAAATAGGAATTTAGCTTTTCTTGAATAAATTCTAAAGCTGCTCTACTTTTGTTTGCTTTTTTAATAAGCCCTATTCCAAATCTGTTATTTGCTATATTCCAACACTTTCTTGAGTTACCTTTTTATGCTTATTCTATTACAATCAAACCTACATTTTCTGTAACTTGGTGACTCTTTTGAACTCTGGTTGATTTTTGGTTCACAGAGGTTAAGAAGAATGAAGGACTTTTGCTTTCCAGTTTGGGCAAATTTTGGTAAATGATATTTCTGAGAACACTTGCCAAGTGTTTCTACCATTTATTAAACTACTTAAAAATCATAATCCTTCATGACATGCTTTAAATAAAATACTGTGGGTGTTTTCCTTTATTTTTCTGTTTAACACATAAAACATTTTTAAAATGCAATGACTGAAACAAATCATATGGTTTCTATGTTCTGAAACTCAGATAAATTAACTTTGAGTTAAGAGATGTTAGCAATGTACTAAAAACATAATTTCTGTTTCATTTTAGTTTGAAATGTTTGTTTTCATCATCCTGAAGAGCATTGGTTAAATTTAATACTGAGATGCTGGGGCGCCTGGGTGGCTCAGTCGTTAGGCGTCTGCCTTCAGCTCAGGTCATGATCCCAGGGTCCTGGGATCAAGCCCCACATAGGGCTCCCTGCTCGGGGAGGGGTCTGCTTCTCCCTCTCCCACTCCCCCTGCTTGTGTTCCCTCTCTCGCTGTGTCTCTCTCTGTCAAATAAATAAATAAAATCTTTTTTTAAATTTTATTTTATTATGTTAGTCACCATACATCATTAGTTTTTGACACTATAAATAAATAAAATCTTTAAAAAAATTTAATACTGAGATGCTTACTAAGTTTTTTTTTATTTCCATGTGCTTTCCTCAATGCATATACCAATCATGTGTCAGATCACATTGTTAAAAGAATTAGTATTCTTTTCAATTGCCTTCTTTCTTAAAGTTATTTAAAATTCCTTTGTAATATGTAATCTATACCTCTGTATTTCTTCAAACTTATAATTCCCCACAACATCGCTTTTGCTGTTTATGTAGAACTAAGTTTCTTTACTCTTGTTTATTTATTTTTTTTTAAGATTTTATTTATTTGACAGAGAGAGAGAGACAGCTAAAGAGGGAACATAAGTAGGGGGAGTGGGAGAAGGAGAAGCAGGCTCCTGGCTGAGCAAGGAGCCCAATGTGCGACTTGATCCCAGGACCCGGGGATCCTGACCTGAGCCGAAGGCAGACACTTAATGACTGAGCCACCCAGGCGCCCCGTTGTTTTTCTTTTTAAAATAGATATTTTTATGTTTTCACTGATACTCTTTCTAATTTATAAAATGATTCTTAAAATATTTCCAGATAAGAGTTTCTGTTGCCAATTCTTGCCTTTATTTCATATTTTTTGTTGAAACTCTTTGTTTTTCTAACATCCATAAAATCATTCTTCTCCCCAATACTTTAATAAATTAAATTCTTTGAAGTATGGCCTATTCTGAATTTGAAGATGGTAGTTGCCTAATACATGTAGTTTTATTCAGCACAGATATTGTTTCCCTCTTATTTGACCTGAAAAGCATAATAAAATACAATTATAACATAATAAAGCAGATGTTTTAAATCACTTCATTATATAATATTAAATCATTAATTATTACAATTAAAATTATTTCATAAAATTCTATGAATTAGTCAGAAATGCCACTGGAAAAAAAATCTGCTAAAGAATGTAATAAGAGAAAAAACTGGAGGTGTCACAATTCCAGATTTCAAGTTATATTACAAAGCAGTAGTAATTAAAACAGTACCATACCGGCAAAATGATAGATACATAGAGACTCAAACATGCTGTAGCTGAGAAGTATGTGAACAGCAGCCTGGCTCAAACCCTTACCTCACTGATCTATGGATTTCTGTGTGTTTTGAGCCCTGCCTGCAGTGGACCATAGAAGCAAAAAGAGCATCATGGACTTGCAAAATGGCGGCCATATATCTGTCTGCTATATTAGACCCTGCTGGTGCCCACGAGAGGATCACAGAAGTGGAAAACATCCACTCTGCATTACAGAACTCAATAACCTTTGAGGATGTGGCCATGGACTTCACCCAGGAGGAATGGGCATTGTTGAATTCACATCAGAGAAAACTACAGAGATGTGATGCTGGAGAACTATAGATACTTGGCATCTCTGGAAAAGCAGCTCAGCAAACCCACTCTGATCACCCAGATGTAACAAGAAGATGAAACTAAAACAGGTAACTGTTCAAATTGGATGGTTCTCCTTAAAACCAAACAATCACGGGCGCCTGGGTGGCTCAGTTGGTTAAGCGACTGCCTTCGGCTCAGGTCATAATCCTGGAGTCCCGGGATCGAGTCCCATATCGGGCTCCCTGCTCGGCAGGGAGTCTGCTTCTCCCTCTGACCCTCCCCCCTCTCATGTGCTCTCTCTCTCTCTCTCATTCTCTCTCTCAAATAAATAAATAAAAAATCTTAAAAAAAAAAACAAAAAAACCCCAAACAATCACAACATAAACAAGATATTTTGGAGAAGGAAGCACTCAGTAGCAAGAAGAAGGAGCAAACTCATGGAGGCAGATCCATTGAGCAGAATAAAATTGCCTTGAGCATGAAATCTAGCATTACTCAGAATCAGAGAATTTATCCTGGAAAGAAACCCCATCAACTCCTTCATCTTGGGAAAGCCCTCAGAGATTTTTCACACCTTAACCCACATGAGAGCATTCTTTCTAGGGAAAAATTCAATGACTATAAAAATGATAAAAATACCTTCATTAGTTCTTTCTTAGATGTGCACAAGAGACAACATACAAAAGAGAAATCCTATGAATGCATTGACTCTAGGAAAGTCTTAAATTCAATCTTATAACGTAAGCATGAAAAAACTTGCATTAGAGAGAAACAATGTAGCCAGTGTGGTAAGGTATTACAGAACCATTTATCCATTGCATTGCACATGAGAAACCATAGTACATAAAATCCTTTTAAATATAACCAATGTGGGGAAGTCTACAGTTCAACCTTTTTTTTTTTTTAAAGATTTTATTTATTTATTAGAGAGAGACACAGCCAGAGAGGGAACACAAGCAGGGGGAGTGGGAGAGGGAGAAGCAGGCTTCCCGCTGAACAGGGAGCCCGATGTGGGGCTCGATCCCAGGACTCTGGGATCATGACCTGAGCCGAAGGCAGACGCTTAACGACTGGGCCACCCAGGCGCCCCGAACCTCTTATCTTACATGGTACAAGAGAATTCACACTGGGGAGAAGCCCTATGAAAAACCTTCAGAGTGTGGAAAAACCTTCAGAGATAGTTCACTTCTCAGACTACATGAAGGAATTCATTCAAGGGATAAACCCTACAAATGTGATCAGTGCAGCAAAACCTTCAGTAGAAGCTTTAGGCTTACCACGCACAAGATAATATATACCAGAGAGAAGCCCTATGCCTGTAATGATTGTGGGAAAACCTTCAGTATTCTTTCATACCTTACAAGACATAAGAGAATCCACACTGGAGAGAAATGTGTTGAGTACAGCCACTGTGGAAAAGCACACCTGTGGATACATACTAGGGAGAAACCTTACAAGTGTGATCAGTGTTGGAGAATTTTTAGAATGAGCTGTAATCTTAATGTGCACAAGAAAATGCATGCTGGAGAGAAACCATGTACATGCAATGAATATGGGAAAGCCTTCAGGGATCACTCATGCCTTAAAGAACATGTGCGAATTCACACTGGAGAGAAACTTTTTGCATGTAATCAGTGTGGGAAAGCCTTCAGAGTGAAATCTTTCCTCACTTTGTACAAGAAAATTCACATGAGAATGAAACAATATGAATGTAAGGAATATGGGAAAGCCTTTGGTGGCCTCTTACCTCATAGGAGACATATGAAAAAGCACACCAGGGAAAAGAAACCCTTCAAGTATAGTGAGCATGAAAAAGTTTTTAGGAGGCATATATCCCTTACAATACACATAAGAACTCACACTGGAGAGAAACCCTATGAGTGTGATCAATGTGGGAAAACCTTCAGTGTAAGGTGTAATCTTACTGTGCAAAAAGAGTCCATATTGGTGAATAGCCTTAACAATGCAATGTCTGTGAACATGCTTTCAGTAAGCTCTCATCCCTTCAGCGGCATCATGAGAGCACTCATGCTGGGTAAAACTCCTAGTAATGTCCATATGCAATAATTTTTAGTGAACTCTCATTCTGTAAGGCATAAAAGCAAATGCCAACTGCAGAGAAAAACTGAATGTAAAGAATGGGAGAAAGCATCTGAATAACAGACCTATGGGAGAAATATGTTATGCAATGACTGTGATAAATCCTTATTCATACCTTAGATAT